TGGAGGGTGAAAGAAATCGACTTGAGCTCTGACCTTAAACCCAGCCATCACCTTTGGGATGAAGAGGAGCAGTGACCGTTGGAAACTCTCTATCAGTGATTGACCTCACCAATGCTCCTGTGGTTGGAGGGGAGCAAATCCCTGTCAAGAGGCTCCAAGTTGAGTTATACGGCAGAAGACTTAAAGGATGAACACTCTTTAGAAGAAGTTTCTTGTGTCAAAAATGAACAGACTGTTCATTCATGTGAAGTTTGTCATCCGTGACAGGATTTTCATTCATTCATGTATTGTATTTCTCTGACTAACTGACCATAAACCCATCGTAAGCAATGCGATATGACATATGATTGAAACTAATGCTCCATGTTTATATTTTCTGACGACAACTACTGACTGTTAATCAGTTCAAATCTCAGGAAAGCAGAAACGGCCAACGCACATGTTAGCCTCATTTCCTCAAGTGTGTTTCATGTATTTCTTCCTAAATACGTCAGTATGTACTTGGAAAGTACACCAGTGACATTGCCTTCCATCAAATGAGCACCAAGTTTTTCAATTACACCCCGAACACTGTTCCCTCAAAAGACTCCAAAGTTCCAGCTTTTTCCCAAACACATAATTTTTCACACTCAACATCATTAATCCTACAAACAACAGGCTAATGGAGGCTGCCTCATTTAGCTAACACAGCTAAATGAACTCATCGCTTTCAATGCTCCTCAAAGCCAAGAAATAAATAAATAGATAAAGAAATGCTCTGTAACAGCCACAAGACGCACAATCCTGCTAATGCTGGCCATATGTCAGCCTTCATCCAGCTCCGGTTTGATACATATGTTATTCCTAAATGGAGAACTCCATTTGGCAGCACCGTGGTGGCAATTCATTTGCTGGATGTTTAAATTTGACAATAAAGTCTGGGGTAATTGTGGCTCTTCTCTGGAAACACATGGTGTGGCTGTGAGGATATGAGGACGTCACCAAGATGACTCAATTTTTCTTCTTTATTCTCCGCTGTTTGTGTGTCATTGACATTGAGACGATGAACGAGGAAGGAAAAAAATAATTGAACAAACACACTCGTCCTTCTGGAGAGTCGGTGATATGGCCCTGAAGAAAAACAGCCTCAGCTGCCAATGTTTACACTCCGGTGACTTTTACACAAACCAGGATGAGATTAGATTAGATTATATTAAACTATACTATAACATGTCCTCCAGTAGATTAGCTGTGACTCCACTGGGTAATTTCAGACTAGCATAGATCATCACACAGTGACAGAACAAGAGCCAGACTGGATTAAATCAGAGTGGATTATATTACATAGACCAAATTAAAGTGGAGGAGATTATCTCATATTAACTAACTCCATTAGGGATTGACCAGACTGGGGAGCTGCAACCTATGGCTCCTGAACCGCACCTGGCACTTCATCGCCTTTTGCTTTGGCTCCCTCTGTAATTATATTAACATCTGTATTTGGTGGCTTGACATTAGGACAGTGATAAAGGTCATACCTCGGTTATTATTATACATGTGAGATTACAAATAAAGTAGACAACACCAGATTATGTTAATCCAGGGTAAATTCAATCAGATTGGATGAGACAATAGTTCAACGAATGTCATCAACAGGTCTTGACAAAAAGAGACTACAGTAGAATGGATTGTTGTGCAGTTGAGAAGATTAGATGTAACGGAATACACTAGATTATACTAGATTATGTGAGACACTTCTGGCATTAACTAAATCTCTGAAATGTTAGATATTGACCCTGACAGTGACACCAGCTTCAGTAATCTCGTCTCTCCTTTGCGTCAGTTTATACTTTTGCATGTGAATCTTTTATTCCCTGCTTTTCTTGGGGGATGTTTTATTGAACTGTCATGACTGTTGGATTTCCTCAGCCTGAAGGTCTTGGATTAAATTAGCCTCTCGTGCTCAGTGGGGAACCCACTGGAGCACAGCCCACTCAATAACGCACACGCGCAACTTGTCTTTAACGGATAATGAAAAATGATAAATGACGTGCCGAGGCCAGCCGTCCCCACACACCACGCCTGCTCAGTTCAATACAAATTCACCGCCAGCAAAGCCCCGCCCACGTATAAGACACACCGCAGTCCCATTTATCTATGTATCCAATTGATCCAATTGATCAGAGTCTGACTGTATTGGATGTAAACTGCAGTCTTTTAATAAGGACTGATTTGTTCACAGGCCAGTATGACAGACGTCAGTGATTTTTCCTTTACTGCTCCGAGGCTTCACACGGTAAAAAATCTTCAATCAAACCCGCCTGACCCGACCTTGACGAGCTGCCAACCGTGAAAGAGCTCAACAACATAGTTTTTACCGTTTGATGGAGAACACGTGAATATATAGACCTCCTGACATGGATCACATTCAGAGTACTTCATTATAAAACATATTTTACAACTGTATGCCTCGGTAAAAGTGCTTTCTCGTGCAAACCCCAGAACATTAAAAGCTGAGAAAAGTGACACGTTTGATGAATGCTGAACGACATAATGAATACATTAAGAACATCTGTAACTTGAAAATACCGCTGTAATTTAAAGTGTAAAAATAAAAATAATATATAAACAATCAGAAAATTAAATAAATATATAAAGTATGTTAAAAAAAGAAAACCTTCATTGTTTAAAAAAAATAGAAACATTGAAAAAAAACCTTTCAAAATATGAACAAAATACATATGAACAAATAACATAAGTTATAGACGTACATACGCTAAGACCAAAAAGGCAAAACAACTAAAACATCATTTCAGCTGTGCTGAACAAAGGTCAGAAAACAAGAAAATATAGACAGACCTTTACCACAGAGATGGATAAAGTACCTCTGACATAACTAAATAATTAACACATTTTACTACTTAAAATGTTGGCCAAGAGTAGAGCAAAATTGCTAAAGGTTATCGTAGAATTAACTAATAAATAGGCAGCCGTGCTAGCATTGAATCATGTACTTGTCACCTGTAATGGTAACTGGTAAACAGGTTGTGTAGGTTGAGGAGTGATGAGGGGAGGAGAGAGGTTATATATTGTATTTATAAATGCTAAGTGCATGAAAGGGTAGAACAAAACATTCTCAGAAAAATATATCTGTATCATATTTCTCTTCCTGCTGCTGCCGCTTGTAAAAATGCTTTAGCTGATTTTTTTTTTTATGAATGAAAGGACGTGTAGCAGAGACGGAGTAGAGGAGTGTGAAATTGGAGAAGCAGCTGTATCGCATCACTGTGTAGTTTTCATTGAAAGTCATATTAAATTCTCGGGAGGCAAGAGGAACATTACAGATGTTAAACTTGGATTACGAGGAATAAATCAACCGAGGAGGTCGTGGAAAAGGAGAAATTAAAATGTATAAAAATATAATGGGGTCAAAGCCCAGCATTCCTGATGTTTGACCTGAAAGTACACAGTATTTCAGACAGAAAGAATCTGACAAGTGGCAATTGTTGAAGTTCTGGGAGTGGCAGGCCACAAACGAAACAGGTTAGGACTAACTATTACTGTAGGTAAGAAAGGAGCATCAGGCAAAGGTTAAAGATGCAAGCAAAGTGTGGGACAAAGCTCATTATCTGGTGTGGAAAAAAACACATTTACAGGTAAAGGACAGCACAGTACCTGATCGATCTAAATTGACCAAAGGTGTGAATGCTAGTGTGAATCGTTGCGTCATATACTGTATGTAGCCATGTGATGGATTGAATTTTCATCAAGAATATAGCTGGAGATAATAGCTAAAAACCCAACCAAAGAACACCGTGTGTTCACTGACTCTGATGACTTCCTGCAGACTCGACAGCAGTCGATATAAAACCATCACCGGCTCAGACTTAGAGGGAATTAGTGAAGAACCTCCGACTCACAGCTCAGTTTGTCCATTAAAGCAGATTAAAGTGGGATCACAACACGTTCCAGCCGGCGTGATAATGCAGTTATTATTTTCAGTCAATTACAGACATAATAGATTTCACTGTGGGGCGAGAGGGATCCTGTGTCGTTGTTAGCGTCGTCCCTGCTACAAAACACGAAGGAAGATGAAGAAGAAAAGGCAGACGTGACCTTAAAAGGATGTAAACAATTTATAAAGCATGTCGTCTTATTCAAATGTGCAGTGTTAGAAACAAAGGCGACCACACTTCTCATTATCCTCCAGCAGAAGGAAGGTAATTTATCACAGCGGGGAAGAAGTTGGAGAAATATCACACTCACACACACACTCACTCACTCACACATACATACACTCACTCACTCACTTGCAATCTTACAATAGAATAAAGATGGCGTCAGAAAAACTTGATATGTGATATTTAATAAAATAAAAAATAAAATCTTGGTTTTCTTCTGGTTATTTCTCTACAGCTACTATGTTAATTGTTCTCTTATTACCTTTGAGTTCCAAATTAGCTAGTGCTTAGCCATTGCAAGCAACATCTAGGATACATTTTACTTTACTCAAATTCAGCTCACACTTTTTTTTTTGCAATATTTTTACTACCTTTTTAATCTCTACAGAGATATGTTTCTTTTTTTTTTTCAAACAAAATTTGCAGCGCTCAGATATAATTTGGTAAATTCTTGGCAGCCCTGTCATGTATTCAGTATTACAGTTTATCAGAGTGATAAAGCGTTAAACATATTCCAATGGTTAAATTGTCTGGATTCCACGGTTCAGAAAACATGTCACGGTTCTGTTTTTTTTTTTTTTTTTACTTCTCCTTTGCAGCAGTGCTGAGTTATACAGTGGTTTATGAACATCTATTGATTTTATCTGGAGCATACAGCAGAAATCAAATCAGCCAGCACACACACGGAGCAGCTCCAATTGAAGTCTTTTTGCTTTCTCCGTGCAGAGATGGCGGTGCTGAGCCACTCTGCAGGATTAGCAGAAGGAATAAAAAAAGGAACTGCATTTTCTAAATTGACTCTCAGATAAAAAGCACCTGTGGGAATCAGGTTTATTGTACCTTAACAATGTCTTCATTGGACGACTTGCACTGCACCGAGGCAGAGACGTCGGTCACGGCTCCGTTCATCTCTATGGACACCATCTTCACAGGAATGGCCACGGTGCGTCCGGTCAGGATGGCAGTGTTGATGATCTCAGTGTCCTGCAGAGACACAAAGACACAAAAGAGTATTGAAAACAAATAAACTCAATAATACATTTGGTAAAAACACCTGAATGCTTCTGTTTTCAGATAGAAACAATCCTTATGAACATTTGCACTTCTTAGGACTCCCTAGCACCCCCTGGCGGATCCCACGTCCCTCTTTATTAGAGCAAAAACAAAGAAAAAAAAAAAAGTGGAAGGACTTTGGAATTATTGGATACACAGTGAGTATCACTGAATCACCTGCTACACATTTTCACAAATTAATTAGCATGATTAACAGATACATTTCAGCACAATTTATTCTTACTTTACATATCCTTATGAATATGACAGCCTTATGGCTCAGGCTTAACCAACTATAATAAATGGATTTTTGCCTCATTGAAAAACGTCTTGGTGGATCTTTAAAATTTTGTACAGTATCTGATTATCCCTGATCCAGAGAGTCATCCCAGCTGTGACTGATCAAATTTAATCCCAGCTCAGTCTATTTGTCTCAGACAGTTAGGGAGGCTTGTTTCCTAATGTGACTCCTTGTTTCCTCTTTTTTAGTGAGCTGATATAACAAAGCCAATTTAGGGGAGACAAAGTGCAGCCGAGCTGTGTGGAGAATGGACCGGGCTCTGGGGTGAAATCCTAATTGAAAGTCATCATCCCCGAGCTCTGCTCGCTGTTTTGGCATCTGCTAAGTATTACACTGAGAGAGAATCTTCACAATTAAATGTGCTCTGCTCTGGGAGCACTAATTATGCTTTACCTGAACCCAGGCTGAAACAATGAGAGTCAGTCATGGCTGCACACAGTCATCGTTCTCACTTTAATTACTGTCTTCTGTCTGGAGCAACCAAACACTAGTTCAGAACCAAATGACAGAAAGGAATAAAAACAAATATTTATTCATACCAAATGTTAATTGCTTTATTGTTTTTTTGCTGAATGCAGCACTGGAGTGTAGACTAAAGAACTGGGAGAAAAAAAACACAACAACAGTTAAACAGGATGCTATTAGCTTGGTGTATACAAAAAACAACAACAACAGTTACAGTAACAGGATGCTATTAGCTTGGTGTATACATTAGCATTGTTTTAATTTAAATATATCATTAGGAATTACAGTTATTTCAGGCCCACTATGTGGTTCAATAGTGCAGTGGATAGCACACCTGCCCTACAAGCAGAAGGTCCTGGGATTGACTCCCAGAGGAACCACATACTCGGTGCCTTCATGGGGCAACCTGTTGCAGCAGATCTGCTGGTAACACAACAATTTCCCCTAGAGTGGGATCAACAATTCATCAAATTAAAAAAACATTTTTACTGGAGCTATTTTGATTGTGAACGAAATATGAGGAAATATGAAAAATATTTGAAGAATTTTAGGATTCAAGAAAAAAACCTGAATTTAGAGTTTTTATTTTTATGACATTTGGTCGTCCAAGAACTATTAAAATATAATTTTCACTATTTTTATGTGAATAAAATGAAGCAGAGCAGAAAATTGTAAAACACTGTGATATCTCTGCCTTCACTTTTTGAATAAAGAAAAAAAAAACACTGCAATGCAAATATGCAGCACACTGTATAACTCAAGCATACAGCACGGACCTGACAGTATGTGTGGTCAGGTCATTAAATTTGCCAACGTAGCAGTCGTTATGTTCCATGTGCGTGACCTAAACACTCCCTGCTTTTTGAATAATGCAAAGACTTTTATTCACCAGATGCATCACACAATAATCACACTGTACACGTGAAAGTACGACGTGTGGATTCCGGCTGTGACATTTGTGCAACGAAAAAAACATCATTTCTTATTTAACATATGCTGAAGCTGCCGTGGAGCAGACCAGCTAATGGAGCCAGAAATACGGCAGCTGCACCTTCTCTCTCCTCTTCGTCAAAGACATAAAATTTTGTTTTATGCAAAAAGCTTTTAGTGGCTCAGTGTTAATGGGATGCTACTGTTATTCTTAAAGGTGGTATTGAGAAAGAGGTATTTTCACCACTTAACAGAAAGCGTATCTATAGCGCTGACGTTTCTTTTTTTAACATAATCCTCCTGCACCAAAATCCATTGAGTCTGAGTAAAATCTTTTTTTTTTTTTGCTGACAGACGTAAGAGCTCTTGGTTTAATGCTGTTTTCTTTGGTAACTTTGTTCCTTTTTAGGAAAGTCTTAGAAAGGATTGCAACAGTCAATAGAGTCACATACCACATTTATACAGTGGATGAAGACCTTCATTGTTTTGAAGTGTTGTTTTGTCCTTATGAAGTTTGAAAATGGAAGATAAAGTTTATGAGAGCACGTAAACCCCTGCGCTGTTAAATGACTGTTTTGCTTAAGTTGTCACTATACTATTCTGGTATGTAATGCTGTTAAATGTCTGTTTTGTTGTCACTATACTATTCTGGTATGTAAATCTATGGTCGTTTTTTAATTCTTTGACTAAACTTTGACTAAATAATTGGTGGATGCTCAAATAATAAAGACCTCAGGTGAAGACGTGGAAGAAAACTGGTTGATTTCATTTGTATTCCTTTTTTGCCATTTTGCTCCAGAATACAAACTTTACCAGGATAGGAATTTCACAGAGGCAGAAAGATATCTTATTTTGCTCTGCAGCTAAACACATCTGGGTACAAATGCGTGCTAATCCCAAATGTCAAGAGGGGCAGGGATATAAAGTAAACCTTATGTTGGAGCAGATGTGCTGTACACAAAGTCATAACTGCAGCTCGAGTGGATTTAATGGAGCTTCAGGTGCACAACAGTAGTAATTATGCAAATACACAACAGAAAACCAAGACTTATTATTCTTCGAGAGCAGCAGCCTCTTAACCAACAACTGCTGGAGATATAATATTTCAGATTCTGAGTTGCATGTGTGTATAGTATTATTCTGGAAGATTGCACTGCATTTCCACACTTAGATTTAGTGCATATACCAATGGCTGTGCATATCGAGGATGTTGTCAATAGAAAAAAAGAAATGTAAGAACCCCTGGTAGTTTATGATTCAACTGGTCAATAACTGAACAATGACTGAAACAAACCTACAAAATATCAGGGGGCTAATGAGTTTGAAGGGCTCGTAGATTGCTTCATAGTCGTACTGTGAACAAAGTGCAAAGGTACACAACCAAAAAAACTTGTTGTCTACTCATCCCTTTAAAGTAATCTCAATGTTTTTTCAAGTATTATCTTCTTTCAAAGGTAGTTCTCTCATTTTTCATTTTTTTCGCCCCAGAGCGTGAAGACTGTAAGTCGATCCTCCACAGTGAAGTGTCAGAGATTATAGTGACTTATTGCACCGTAGATGCCATCAGCGGGTTTGATCTCACAAGAGCATTGTTCCTTTTGAAATGTGACACTGATCTTTGTGTGTCTGCGCAGTGAAAGTACACTGAGCCTCACAGCAGGAAAGTTACACCTGGGCTTTTCTTTTGTGAATCTGAAACATCTGGTAAATGAGCTGAAAGTGAGATTGCATTTATATATGAGGTATTTATATTTTTTATACATGGAACTGAACTGTGTAAAGTTTGCGTTGAGAACTTTTTTCAAGCTGAGCTTGAGTTTTTATTCACATGCAAAGGAATCTTTAAAGTAGGGGTAGGCAACATTTTCTTCATTATTCATTTGTTTGTCAGTGCTGGGATTTTTAACCTCAACCTTTGTAGGTCAAGAAAATAAGCGCAATTTCTCTGGATTATTACCAACATTCATCTAATAGACACATCAACCTGGACCTCATATGATGTAGATTAATGGCTCTGGGTTGGTCTCCTGGTAACTAGATATGGGCCACATGCTTAGGGCCACACATTTTGTATCCTGTCCAATCCTTTTGGAACACATGGCTAATGGGTTTCAATGACAGAAGTGGGCCACGTGCTTATTAGGTGAAAGAGAGGAAAGAAGAACGAAAGATGAAAAAAAAAAAACCTATCTAATCCAGTTTATCTAAAATCACTGCTGCTAGCTAAACAGATGGACTGGAGTAGCTAAATTCTACAAAAAAAAAAAAAAAAAAACAACAACAAAAATAACATAATTTTTATGTGTAAACTCACCATGGCCAGAGGAATAATGGCCTGAATGTCCCGCTGCACCACAGTCAACTCCGTCACCACCTTCTCTGACTCAGGGGACGGGTTCTGGTTCTTGTAGTCGATGTTCCAGTTGATTCTCCTGGTCACTGAGAGGCTGGTGAAGTTCTCCATCTCAAAATCCAACTGCATCACCTCCACGTTGCTCAAAACGTCTCTGTTGGAGAATAAAAACAGAATAAATAAAATGTATTTCTACTTTGTGATTATAACCACATTCCAGTGTCCTGCATTGTTCTGGTTCTATGTTGTTCCAAACAGTTGTTTTTCATCTTAAGCAAAGACAAAGCTACCATTGGTTCAGGTTTGCTGCCCACATTCAAATATCAAATATAGGTCACCGAAGGAGGGAAAAAAGGAGGATTTGATTTGAGCCGGATCCTGTACCTCTGACGTTGGATCCAACACCTCCGTGTGGAATGAAAAAAACTTTAATTTAAGATTATGAGCTACAATCAAAGGTGTAGCTTCTGATATGAATCTCTTTATATTCAACATGGAGAAGCAGGTTTTCAGACGCATGGATCCATGAAAAAAGAATCTGCGTTCTAACATTTCCTTCAGTCAACTGTAGCAGCTCCATCAGTCTGACTGTCAGGGTTTCCTGACAGATACAAGGTGGTAAACAATGGCAGCAGCAGCTCAAAGGTCACAGTGTACTGTTTACAACACTATCATTCAAAGGCAGAACACTGACTTTTTTTTTTTTTTACAATTCCATGCCTTGCCTCTCAAGCTAAGAACCCAGGAGCAGAATACCAATCTTTGGGCTGTAAACCACAACAGTTCCTCGTGTGAATGGTTTTGATTGGTATAATTATGTTGTCCAGTCATTACTGTAAGTGATTACAGTCCTTGCCTTTCTTGATCAAATGCAGTTGAGCCACAGAATATGCTAATTGCACCATTTAGGAGCTAATGATGCAGGCATTTCCCCCAGGAGGGGGGAGATAAAAAAAAAATACCAAAAACTTCCAAAAACTGATCCTTTTCTATCCCAGTAGCCAGTGGACAGGAAGAGTTACATGCTAGACTCTTCACCAGTCCACCAGAGGGCGACATATCTGTGCTCAATTAACAGTACCAAATTAGTCTTAGAACTTAGTTCCTGTAATTTCTTTGAGGGATAGATAGGTGGTAGCACCAGGATTCCACTTGCTATGAAGAAGTTTCCGGGTTCTACTCTGTTAAACTGGTTAGTCCTTAATCCCAGGTTGAGTTCGGTCAGGAAGGTGGGTGAAAATTTGAAGAGCACCTCAAAACAGACTGACTTCTCCGACAGCATCAGTGTCTAACACCAATAACACACTGCTACAATACTGCAGGAAGAGCTGACTTGTTTATGGTCATAAAAATGTTTCCACCAACATCTTGGGGCTGTTGTAAAACGGAGCATTAAAATAAAAAGCGATGAGGAGTGTCGGTTCTCCTAACAGTGTTCCGCCCATCTTAATGAGCAAATTACCCTGAAAAGTCACAAATAAATGAGTGATTTGTCTCTGAACTAAAACATTAAACAGATTCTGTCAATAAAGTCTTTGTTTTTTCCCCCTTTATTTTGTCAGTCTTTGCAAAAAAAAGATCTTTAATTCTCCGGCACAGATGTGACAACATCGAAAACACAATACCAGACTTTCAGTTTCCTGCAATAAATGTAATGATTTTGGTGGTTGTGATCATTAGGTGATACAAACTCTGACATTAAAGCAACCCTTATGTTTGGTGAAGGGGCAAATTAAATCTCACACAGCATGAGATGAAACAAAAAAGATCAAATTAAAGTTGTTACTGCTCAGTGTCAAAAATGATTAATGTCGCATTTTAAGAATGTTCTTAGAATGTATGAAATATCTCATTTCAAATAACTGTGATGGAGGCTTTTGATGTTGAGCATGTCTACTGGAAAAAGACCAAAACACAACTGCTATGTTCATTACAGTTACATTGAGAGCATAAAAAAAGTTAAAATCCTTTATAATAAACTCAAACACAAATCTGCTAAAAGCTTTACAAAAGAAACAACAACAGAAAAAAAGGTTGAAAATCCATCCACAAATTCAAAATATGAAATTCCAAAATGCAGATAGTAGAAAAAATAACAAGATGGTGAAAGCTGGCAGAGAAATATTGAACTTAATTTTTCACTTAATTAAAAAAAAAAAACTTAGACATTACTTGAAGCCTTCAAAAGCCAAAAGACAAGGAGTGAATTCCTTTTCCTGAGATAAAAACAAATATAAAGAGAGACTAACTGTAGCTACTTGAACTACAGGTAAAAGTGAGCCAAAAGAAAGAGCAATTCATTTCCAAAGATCAAAAGATAAAAATGAAAAGAATCAAAATTTGCTCAAGAGATTATTCATCCTGAAGTTCACCCTCCAAAAACTAGTATGCTAAAGGCTAAAATAAATGTGTTGGAAGCAAGGAGGTAAAAGAAAGAAGCTACAAAAAGAAAGTAGCCACAAGGCAGCCAAGATATTAGAAACCTGGAAAACCTGGAAAAAAGATTGATTGTTCTTGTAACGGAAAACCTCTGCCAAAAGATACTAGCTATTAGCTGGCACTAACGGTAAATTACCACAATATAATTCAGAATTAGCTTAATTATGACTGCAATTTGCCAAAGGGTATAAAGCATTAGCACAGATATGGTGTTAATGAGAAAAAATGAATAATCTTTTAAAGTGTCCAGTTAGAAGTCTAAAAACATAAAAAAAAAATGTTTGGCTGATTAAATTCAAGGACTGAATCAATTTGGCTCAGTAGTAGCTTAGCAGAAACACAGGTTTAGTTATCCCTGACTAGAAAACACGTAAGCAAACATCGTCCACATTGAGCTACAAAATCAGCTAAAGACAAGAAGCAAACATTGTCCACGTTGAGCTACAAAATCAGCTAAAGACAAGATTGATGTAATGCAGAAAGAGTTTCAAAAATGGTTTCAAGTGTGATTTGAAGAAAGACGAACGGTCTGAGGGTCTTTTATTAAGACCTCTGTTCCTCGCCCTGTTCTCCGCCCACTAACGGATCCTCAGCGATGAGATCTGGGCCCATTTGTCTTCACATCACTCAATGAAAACAACACCTCTGTCTGCCTGTCTGTCTGACTGTCACACACTCAGACTGTCATCAATACGTATCCACGCTACAGCAACAACACGTACAGACACTCGATACAGCGGAGGCCCAGGAGTGAGGTGCAGGGCTAATCATTATGATGTAACCATGATGAACCAGTCTGCGTCACATGACAAGGTTTTCAATAGAAGAACAAGCGTGCATAAAAATGTGAAATGTTGTCCGTAGTTTTCACCCGGTTACACAAGCCTTTATGTGGGCTTTAGCCTTCGCAATAAATCAACATCGTTGCTTAACATTACCTACATTTGGACCAAGGGATTCCCAGTGCAGGAGGCCAGCAGGGGGCCTGCACGGCTCAAACAGCACTGATCCACATATTCTGTTTGTTGCACTGTTTACAAGCAGACTTCAGAAGCTACAACTTCTCTTTAAGTTTTGAAAGGAATAAACAAAAGACAAAAACAGTGTTAAACCAGTGAATGACCCAAATGAAAAGGAAACAGTTGGAAGAGAATAAGGTAAATGAGTGATTCAATATCAGAGAAAGAAACAAGTCTGGAGAACGCCGGGTCTTGTCTCTATTAAGTTAATGATGTTCCTGTGTGGAGATCACAGAGTGTATGTTTTAGAAGCAGTAGCTTTGGGGCTTTTTCCAGAGACTCAGAGGAGTTGAAGCTTTGATCAGACGTCTGTTTGAACTGATTAGAAGTGAGGATTCACTGGTTTAAAGAAGCGTTAGAAGACCTGAGAATTATATAAAGGAAAAAAACCTTGACAGTTACAGGAGTAAAAGACAGGTCCTAACTCAACCGCCAACGCGTGTTATTGAACATGAAAGAGATATTACACTACGCCATCATCTCTGCTGTTGATTTAACAGAAAATAAAACCTCTAGCATTGCTAGAGGTAGTTGAAAAAATAAAACAAAACGGGCTACGCTAATAAAGTTAGCAATATTCAATGAAAGTTCCCCCAAATGGGGAATTTAAAAAAAGTCAATTGTCGATTTAAATAAAATATTTACTTACATAATGTTATATAACAGTCCAAGACAGAACAAACATTTTTACTATTCTTGCCCGTAGCTTAGCTTAATTCTTACTGTGATGAAGGTGCTGTGACAGTTTGTCCAGGTTTGACTGAAATGTTTTTTCTCATCTTTATCCTTAAATTATGTAAGTAAATAGAATGAGAATTTGAATTTAAAAACTGAAAACCTTTATTTTCCTTCTGCACAAAGTGGTGACATCCATGAAACACAAGTGTTCCTCTCAGCAGAATCCAGAAGTTCTGTATCACAGAGATGCAGAGCTGCATGTAGTCTGAGCAGAGAACAAAAAAATCATCATCTTTGTCACAATAGATGAAGACAAAATCCAGGAAACCTAAAAGTGATGAAGAGATCAACAGCAAGGCCTGATGGGAAAAGACTTTCACCTCATTTCCCGACTCCTAGGTAATTCTGGGTAAACAAAGAGCAGATGCTCAAATAGATCTTAGAAGAATTCATCCGGGGACTGTGGTTTTTTTGTGTTTTTTGTGTTTTGTGCTTCATTTTCGACTCAGCTCGTGTGAAAGAAACACACAATAGAACCATCTTCAGATGTTGACTTCATGAGCAGTAAAGGGGTTTTCCCAGGATTCTCTGCATTTTTGGGGCTCATTAGTTTGAAGCCTTAGGGCAGCTGCACACAGTTTATACTGGTTGTGAGCATTATTACTTTAGGAGGTAACAAAAAGTTAATTTGGATTCATTTTCAGGGAACAGGAAGTGTTGAAAAACAATAAAAATGTTTTTAAAAAAACTGAATAAAATGACATATTTTCCAAGTGTTATGGCTGTTATTTTATTATTATTTACAATATTAAAATATCAAGGGTATTTTATTCAGATTATTATGGTGTTGGTCTGTGCAACCCAACATAGTATGCGTCCCAGAATGCTTGCAGACAGACATTTTGTACTTTGCACAGACTCTGTATCTTTGGTCCCGGTTTTAAAATTCTGCCACTTTTAGTTTTAGCTGCTCACAGAACAGAGTGGTTTCTGACAGAAACGCAGCAGGACAGGTTTGTTCCTCTGAGCCCCTGCTGGACACTGTCCACTCTGTGACAGGGAGGTGAAAATGACAAGCCGTGGGTCAGTAAATACAGCAGGAAGACGCTGCCACTCTGGAGCCGAGCACCAAACCTCAGAGGAAGCCTGGAATTCCCTAATTCAGGTGAGGTCACCAGCCTGTCCCTGTCCTGGCTCAGGGGTCATTAGAGTGTTTGGAAGCAAGAAAGTGCGAATGGTGAGCCCGCACAACTGAAGGTTAGCAAAACAAGGAACCCACTAAAAGTTATCAAAAAGGTAAAAAAACAACAACGAACAAGCAAAAAACCCCAGATAATACATAAACAATAAAATAATAATTCAAATTTAACTTAGTAATATATATATACAATAAGATAATAATTCAAATTTAACTTAGTAATATGTCTGTTTGATAAACATTGAACAACAACAACAAAAAATATAACTGAAAAAGCAACAGGTTCGTTATCAGTTTTGCCAATTAAAAAAAAACTATTTGTTTAAATATGTTTATTTGTTCAAATATATTTTTTAATTATATAATTATCAGTAGTAGACTGCGTACAATGCTGTATAAAACACTACAATATTGCCAATGTACAGTAAAGTACAAAGACGAGCTATCTCAAAGGCTAAACTCAGGTTAGCTCAGAATCAGCTAAAGTAACTGTTGGTCAGTGCTGGGGAGACCGTGGTGCAGATGAAGACAAAGCTCTGCAGGAGACTACCAATCGACCCAGGTTGTGAATGTGTACAGTACACCCCGTATATTGGCTGCGTGATTGGTGACCTGTCCACACGCTTCACTGCCTTTTGACCAATGTCTGCTGTTGCTGCCTCCAGCTTTTTCCCTGTGACCCCTAAAGAAGAAGTGGTGCAGATGACGGATGGGTTTGTTGGTGGCTGTGATGAATGGTCGGGGTCTTTCCTTTTTCTGTGTGATTTTGGTTCTGTGTGAAACCTAACACGGAGAAGCTGCTTTTATTTCAACAGACTGTAGACTTCGCTAATGTGTACATCACTGAAATCATGCCAATAAAAATAATAAATAAATATGTGTTTTTTTTCTGAGTAGGCAATAATTCTGCATGTAGAAAAATACATTATAATTTATTAATATTGTTTATTATTTATTAAGGTTTGTTCTATATGTGAGCATTGTAAACTATGGTTCACCTCAGAATTTGGTAATGTGGCCCTTATATAGCAATACATTAATGGGACTTTTAATGACCCACATCTTTCGATCAGACTCCATATATCAGTCTGGCCAGGCAATTATGTAGCCCATGTTCTACATTTGGTCCACATAATTATATCAATGGCCCAAACCCATCCAGCTTGACTACAAATATGTCACAGCCATTCAGATGATAACAGTCACACATGAACCAAAGCTGCCCACATTTGGCCAAACAATTACTCAATGGCCTATATTCTTGGTCATATAAATGTTATAAAAAATATAATAGTCTAAAAATATAAAAAGGCAAACCTGATGCACAGTAAAGAAAACCTGTCCAAGTGACATGATTGGGGATTAGGGCATTTGTGAAGAATGTTGTGCTCTTTTAAAAGCCGTCTTTAATCACGGACTAAACTCCGACTTAGTTACGCAGAGTGAGAACTTTGTTGTGGCCTTTTGTTCGTTGTCTGGGAAGACAAATATTCCCGTCTTTAACCGAGCCGGACTGGAATAAAATCAACATCTGCAGCAGCTGTTCAAACGCTGCCTTCAGGGTCGGGGGCTGTTGACTCACCCTGCTTTGACGCCTTTGTTCTTGTTCACCTCGATGGTAGTGATGGAGTGTTTGGCTCCAGACTGGACCTCCCAGTCCACCTTCCACTGAGCGTTCTTGGACTTGGTCTGCAGCAGGTTCACCCCTTTCTTTGCTTTGACCCTGAAAGAGAGAGAGCGAAAGAGTGAGAGAGGTCGAAAAAAAAAGGGGGGGGGGCAGTCGTCAGTTTTTATTAGAGTGTGTGATATATGTGCGAGGTCAGGGGTGAACGCCCTCTGTGCTTGGCGAACCTCCTCATCACATTGCGTCATGGCAAAAGCAATTCTGCAGATGAATCAATAACAGAGATGAATGAAGATGACAGAGTGGTGATGCATGAGGCCAAGAGGACAGGAGAACTCTTGGTCACAGTGCGCAAACGTACAGTAAAATTTCACACCGGCGCTGGAACACGTCTGAATTAAAAACCACGTGAAACTAACGATGCATTTGATGACAAAAAGTACATGGCAAGACAGCCAAAATCAATAACATTTGAGTGAGAGAGGATTATTCAAATCAGGGTTGATCAATGAAAGGACAACATTGTTGTATTACAATCATAACATTATCAATATCTCATTCTTCAAGTCAACAATGAGGAAAAAAAATCTAATATAAAACACCCTCCTGTTCCTACAGTGTGAACCTAATCATATGTTGTCAACAGAAACACATACATGCACATAATCCAGAACACACCTGTTAACACATTCATATATTTATAAAGTCCATATACACAGATTATCCACGCATGCTGAACACCACATTTCTACCTGCATTAAAAATCAGCAGCAACGACCTACGGAAACCAACAGGATTCAAATTCATTGACTCCGTTTTTATTATTTTCCAATAACATTATTGACACAGCATAAAAAACCAGAATGTTATTGTCTCAATTTTACTCAATTCTATTCTATCTGACTATGGTGTGTGCATGTGCTATGTATACAACATAGTAAATGGTTCTCAAAGTGTGGGGCGCACCCCTGACAGTACAACTGAAAGTGGAACAGATTTATTAATTTATTGTTTTTGTTTAAATAAATTGCTTTATAAATAGAGTTCACAGGAGTGGAGGCAAATGCTATAAAAGCAGAGCGGGGGAGAGGGGATGGGGGCTCTATAACATTTGTAATTAGCCATTCATGAGAATTGTGAGATTCCATTCATGAGTTGAAATCACCTCTGTATCTCACTTCATTATGCTTTCCTACGTTGAGCTGTAGTATGGATTCGCTGCTCCCATGTTCAGCCAGTACGTTCCCCACACCTAAATGTTTTAGTGCAGCATCAGAATTCGGATGCACATTGATTTCAACTTAGACTCAAGTCAAAGTCTGTAGCTGCTCACAGACGATCGATAGTGAAAAAAAAGTGACTGACAGGTGCTACGGGAAAGCAAACTGAATATTTCTGGTTCAGTGTTACTAAAAGATAAAGACAATTTGAGACAAAAATAAAACAAGCTGTGTCTTTTTGTGTCGTTTTGGTTGTTTAGTCTTTATTCCCTGCCGTAAATTGTTGAAATCAGAGCTCAGTGGTAGGATGTTAGAGTAAAAAAACAAAAACTCTGTTTTCTGCTTTCCCGTTAAAGTAACTCTACTGGATATTTGACTACGCGCGCCACGCCCCAGTAGTGTACCAGGGGATGTTGGAGAATTCGAGCTGGAGAATATTGATCTGATGATCTCATTTTCTGGAAATTTCAGAGCCAGATGAATTATTAACATATTTGGATTATGTTTTCATCTGTGTTGTGCCTTCCAGACCATTTTAGACTTTAATAACAGCACGGTAACAGTGTGACGGTAGGTGATACCTGAGGATTTGTTCAGTGAAAAAAAAGTGTTTAAAATTCCGTCTGAGACTCTGATCTGATAAAATAATCATCACATCAGTGAGCTTCCTGAGAAACTGATTGAAGGCATTTATTTGAATCTGATCTCAGTCTGTGTGCCTCATGATGAAGAGGTTTGAGGCCTTTCTACACCGCCTGCCTTATTTCATTTACTCCCTTGAATGATAAAGAATTCCCAAAGTTGAGATGAGATCCTTCCATCTGTCCTGCCATGACCTGCTGTGGTATAACTGACCATTTATGATTGATTTCACCACAGGTTTTGTGACAACTTTAGCTTCAATTCTTGCATTTCTGATTTCTCAAGATTGAAGTTAAATCTAAGAATAAAGCTGAACCAGAGACATGATGAAAGTTAGACAACAAAAATCTAATCGTTGTTCGTCATGAGAATGTGAATTTTACTAACAAAACATGTCTAGTCAATCACCAAATTTACAGTTAAGACACCAAGCTATGTTAATGGCCGTTAATGTGTTGCGAATGAATTGCTGGACAGAATGAATGTCATCATTTGAACTACGCAACTTTTTTTCCCTTTTCTGTTGCCCAGTAATCTGCTTTCTTAAAACTAAGTCTATGAAACATACCTCAGCGTCTTTTATCATATCCTTCTCCTTCAGTAATGATCAGAGTTATAAGTTTCATCTGCTGTTATCTTCTGTCGACGCCCCTTTGATGCCGGTTTAAAACCTCCTCCCTCTCGTGGGGAAGGAGGCGACCCAGCAGGTGACTGTAAAAATACTGATCAAATAAAAGCAATAATTGCACCTTAGTGTAAAATGTACAGTGTAAACAGTTTCTTTTCTTGGCTGCGTGACCTGTGAAGTAAGTCCTGTATTTATATTCATTACCCAAGCACTCAGCAGCAGCTTTTAAAAGCCATGATACATATTCATCGTCATCGATGTTTTCAGAGACTGTGGTCAGACCTTGAGTTTTGATCAGATGCTGCCTTTGTTCCAGGCTACGTTGCTGAATAAGCAACAGTCAGTGCAAAAGGGATGGGCGACAATAATAATAATAAATAATAATAAATAATAATAATCCACCATTTAGATTATCAGTTCTCAGCATCTGAGCTCAAGATGGATAGACAGTCGGACGAACAGACACATGAAATCCACTTATCCACTGTTCTGACATCTTTTCATGTTTCTC